AGCTTTTTTTAAAAATGTATTTATTAATTTAGTTATTTAAGTGAATTCTGCTTCTGAACAGGTCCAAACAACAAATGTGTTGTGGAGCAATGAAGGTTTATCAGAGCGTCCTGCTACTCTTCTGCTGCCAGTTCCTTCACACTCTGGGTAAACTACTTGTTTTTATTGATTGATTGATCGATGTATGAAATTGAATTTATTGAAATAATTATTGAAATAATTATTGAAACCATGTTTTCACAGCTTTAGACTGTGCCATGATGAGCGGTAACCTGAAGCAGATAGACGCTGGGTCTGGCTCAGTGGTTGGAGTGAACAATCTTAATGAAGTGTTCATCCTGGAGGATAACATCTTCACAAAGATCAATATGTCTCTAAATCACTTCAGTGTTGGTCCTGCTGGTCAGCTGGGGGTGGATTCAGCAAACAACATCTTCAAGTTTCAGAGTGGTTCCTTCATTCAGTTTCCAGGTGAAGAGTTACAGAGAGAAAAATTAAGACAAAAGACAAGTTTAACCAGCCAATTTACGTTTTCATTTGAAAATAGTTGAGTCACAGTCCCAAAGACATAATCTTACTGTTTATGGTCCCTATTAATCTTTCATCGAACCTGTTGATTGTGTTGTTAGGGCTTCTCAAACAGGTGGATGCTGGAGGTGATCAGATCATTGCAGGTGTCAATATGCATGATGACATATTCTGTTTAAATATGGATGCTAACGACAAATGGCCATCCAGCACCACTCCTTGGGTTCAAATTAATGGAAAGCTGAAGTATTACAGCTGTGGCCCGTACAGCTGTTGGGGAGTGAGCAGTTATGACTATATCTTCATCATAAGGGTAATGTCACAATGTTAAATACTTAACATATTAATGTTAAATAATGTTAAAGTGTGAAAACAAGTTCAAGTACACCAGATTTTTAAAAGTACAACAATATATTAGATATCATGCATGCATTTGATTTTCTGTCAAAACTGAAGAAATAAAGAAACTGAAGAATTAAATGTTTTTGATGTGACCTTACTATGACTGAGTGGGTTGTGTCTCTTTTTGTCATGTGCAGAATGTGTCTAATAATGTCTGTTCTGGGTCTGGCGAATTTGAGACTATTTCTGGATCTCTGTCCATGATTGAAGTAGCAACTGATGGCAGTGTGTTTGGTATCAACTATCAAGGGAACTTATACCAAAGGTAAGCTGAACAGGCATAATAGTCTATTACAAAGTTGTATCAATAAAATGACTTGTCATGCACATTTTTTTTAAATGTAAATCAAATTCTGCATTCAAGAAACCTTCATTTTTGCTTATTGCAGAGCTGGCATCACTCGCTCCAACCCTGCTGGCGTAAAGTGGATCCAAATAATTGCCTGTCCCAATGGCCACCAGCATGTGAGCTTTGACCTGGGAGTGCTGTGGGTCGTGTGTGTTGACGGCTCCATCCTTAAATGTACTTAATAATCTTTCAATGCAGCTACAGAGGAGCTCAATCATTAACAGAAACCTCAAAGTAATCAGTCATTATTAACAGAAAACTGAAAGCTTGATTATACTTGATTCTCTTTTTCTTGCTGTTGCACCAATAAAGCATTATGAAAGCATCCCCCATCACTGTTGTGTTTCTTTTGTCTATCATTTCATTCAGTGGTTCTCAAACTGTGGAGCAGCTGCAGGTGATAAGCAACACAACTAAAAAACAAAAAATATATGTAATTTTATTCAAATTGTTCTAGATTTATTTATAATGTCAAATTACAATTTTGATACAAGTGTGTGAATCTATAAATCTAGTGTAAAGCCTGCATTTTTAGAGATGTTAATACATAATGCTGTGTTGGATCCAGCTGACACATGAGGAATGTTAGCTTCAATCACTTTAGCAGATCCCATCAAAAGATATCCACTTTGTCTGATATCCAAAAGCAGTTAATACTACATTTGTCTGACATGTTAGTTAGTTATGATCTAACTTCAAAAACATCTTGGTTACTAAAGTAACCTTGGTTCCCTGAGATAACAGAAACAAGCATTGTGTAAGTTTGCAACGTTATGGGGAAACACAGTTTCTCCGAAATACTGATTGAGTCTCGTTTGTACACCTGCACAAAAACGGTCAGAGCCATTTGCTTATGTAAGTCAGTGAAGAATGCCATTTAGTGCTGGCCCAAAGCACATAAAGAGCTACTCTGATTGCTAAAATTGACTAGAGTGCTCAATAGGGAGAGCAGAGAGAGTTATCATCTGTGCCTTGAACGGAGTGGAAAGCACCTTAGGTACATAGCCATGCCTTGGCTTGAGGATGGCCTTACATTCTTTGGGCTCAAACTGAATGCAGGAAGCGTTCATCAAGACCACTTGCAAGTCTCCTACTTGCTTGACCGATGACAAAGCCAATAGGAGTGTTCTCTTGAGTGAAAGGGTCCTCAGTTTAGCCATCTGAAATGGCTTGGACAGAGGGCCTCTGAGGACCGTGGACAGTGTCGAGGTTGGGACTGTGTGGAGGTGAGCCGGCTTTAACCTCGTAGCCCCCCCTCAGGAATTTGACTATTAGGTCATCCCTTCTGACTGATTGGGCATGGTAGGTCATGATAGTCACCATATATACCTTTAGCGTGGATGATATACCTTCAGCAACTCCTGTAAAAATGTCAGGATCGACACAACATTGCAAGAGAAATTGCCTATTTCTCTGGCTACACACCAGTCAGAAAAAACAGGCCATCTAAGAGCGTAATGCCATCTAGTGGAAGGCACTCTGGTCTCTGCAATGATGTTTATTATACCTTGCGAGAGATCCAGATCCCCATTGAGGGGCCATAGATGAAGGCTCCCCAACTTGGGTTGGGGGTGCCAAATCGTTCCTTCCACTTGGCAGAGAAGGTCCTTCCTCAGAGTGTTTGGCCAGGGTGCTGCTGACAACAGCTGTACCACCTCTGGGGGCCAAGCTTGGTTCCGCCAGAGTGGGGACACTAACAGTATCAAGCATCTGTCCTCCCTGATCCATCTGATGGGCTGAGGGAGCAGAACTGCTTGGGAAAAGGCATAAGGATGCAAATTCGGCCACTCGTGGGTAAGCGGGTCCATTCCCTGGAAATGAACACTGGGTAGTGAGAGTTCTCTTCCGAGGCAAAAAGGTTGACTTCCACTTGTGTGAAGATGCTACAAATCTTCGGAACCGTCTGAGGGTGGAGTCTCCATTCTCCTCTAGACACTCAACTCTGGGACAGCATGTTCGCTCACTGGTTCAGTGTGCCTGGTAAACCTCACAAAGCGTACATTGTGCTGTGCAAACAATAGGATGTGCCTCGTTAACAGACCTGAGATTGGTCCAAAACCAGCCAGTCACTGAGATTATTTAGGACGCACACTCCCCTCTGTCGCAGGAGGGAGAGGGCTGCGTCCCCACACTTTGTAAATGTGCAAGGCGCCAGAGACAGTCCAAACTGAAGGACAGTATATTGGTAAGCCAGAGTCTGTGATGGGGGGCTATGTGAATATGAAAATAAGCATCTTTCAGATCCACAATGAAAAAACAATCCCCTGGGTAAATTTGAGAGAGGATTTGCTTCAATGTTAGCATTTTGATTTAATTTCAATTTCATTAAGGCATGGTTCAGACGTCTCAGGTCGAGGATGGGTTTGGGACAGCCATCCTTCTTCGGAACAAAGAAGTAGAGGTTGTAGAAGCTTAACTTGCAGTGGGCTGCTGGGACCTTCTCTACGGTGCCCCTCACTGGTAAACACTCAACTTAGGACCAAAGGATGCAGGCTTTGCTGTCTTGGACCAAAGTTTGCAAAATTTCAGTTTCTGTGAGCGAACTGGAGAAAATAACATTTTGTCTACAAGACCCAACTTGACACAAACGGAATGGCCATGGGCAGAAGTGCTCCAAACGGTGGTTTGGCGCACTGGGACAGATAGCCATTGCTTGTATAGTTGCAAGTGTGAAGTGGAGAGGTGCTCCTTTTGAGAGGATGTTTGTTTTTTATTATTTGGTTCGCTATAATAGCGGGGAACTGCCTGGATGCAATTTTTGGTGTGACAGACCCAGCCAGGGGCGGTTCCTTCATTAGGGCGATAGGGTGACGCATCACCAAAATGTGAAAGGGAGGGATTTTTTTCTAACACATTCAACCAGTGTTATGCTAGCTGTCACTGTTCTAGACTGTTTGTTCTGCCTCTAGATATATAGTTCAATCAGCATCAAGTCACATTATGTGGAGTCCTGCCGCTTTTTGGGCGATTTCACTCTGGCCGAGAATCGCCCTGAGTGTTCTCATAGACTTCCATAATTAATAATTAAATTTTTTTGCAAACTGTTTTTACGTGCTTTTGTCATCCTATGCAGCCTTAACTTGTGCAGCGATTGGTGGGAACAAACATACCTCTATTAATTACCTTTAAGCTGAAGTCAGGACTAGTCTGTATGGCCTGAATAAAGCAAACCAGTATCTTTCCAGTAAGGTGTTGATGGATGACGATTGTAAAGGAAGTAAAGACGATTACAGTGACATACAAGAGTCATACATTATTAGACATGCGCGAGTCTGTTATTATTAGTGTGCAAATAAACAAACCGTGTCTGTGTGCTCTCTGATACTAGCACATTTCTAGCTTTTTACACTAGGTTTTTTTTAGTGCTTTTTACACTAACACATTTCAGTGTGCTCGCATGTCTGGCAAGTGTTTTATAATGGACACTCGCTGAATAAATGTGTTTTCATAGCAGTTTGCAATGGTCAGTGGTGTTTATATGGGCATCAACACTCACTCTGACAGAGGAACTATTCACTGGTGAAGCTGCCTTCAGAACGCCACATTCGACACATGTTTTTATTTGCTTTTTAATTTGTGTTTTATTATGTTTAATAATTCTAAATGGATCCATATATATTTAGTGTCAATGTAAACCTGTCGGCAAACAGCGACACATGCAGATCCGCTTTAAACCTGCGTGTCAAATACTGAACTATTAGTTTCCTCCGGAATTATTTTGCAGACGTACTGCAGTGATGTTGTGTAACGTCTGTTTATGTCCGTGTTTAAACAATTGAAAGGACTTCTCATGAACAAATGGGGCATTAAACATGTATACATAATGTTGTCTAGAATTTAATATCTGAATATCATCTAATGAGTCCCGATGGTGAAAAGAAAACAGAGGAGAGTTTTGCACTATGTGAAAGAGGGGAGCCTGATGAAGTTAAAGTCGTTCCTTCGTAAACACAAGGACCTGGAGCTGAACTTCACGCAGGGGAAGAAGCACAGAAGCCCCCTACACATTGCCTGTTCGCACGGGAATGATGCAGTTCTCAGACTGCTGCTGAAACACGGAGCAGACCCCCTTCAACCCGACAGAAATGGAGACACACCGCTACATCAGGCCGCAAAAAGAGCCCTCAAACATGGCAAAAGAGGTAAGAGACCGTGTAATATCAACAAACTCTTTCTCCGATTAAACTGTTTTTAATACTGTTCACCTTATTCCTCGCAGCTTATGATGATCTGGTGGTGCCATTGCGAAAAAACTGTCCAGAAGCCATGGATATTTCTAATAAAGCAGGAGTTATGCATCTTGAAATTCATGTTATGTTTCATATTAATTTAACTGAAACAGGGGAACGTCAAAAATGAATCCTATGTTGATCCAGAGCAGCAATGGAGAGAGAAGCTGTTAGGCGAATGCCAGGATGAGTTTTTTGAGACGTTCGGACAGTATGATGGTAAGCTTGAACATTTTGCACTATTATTATTATATTTTTGGAATAGCTGGTTATTCTAAACATTATAGTCCATTGTAAAATAATACATAGATGGATCTGTGGCCTGTAGCACGAAGCGTTGCATCAACAGTTGCAGAGTTAGTTTTGAGTTGACAAAACCTAACAAACCCAACCCGGTTTAGATCGGGATCAGCTGTCGCACAACGCTCGGTATAAACATCCTCTGTCAACTCAGGTTTGATCCTGAGTTTGTGAGGCGCGTGAACCTGAAAATGTGACGCATGCGGCAATCAGCCAATCACATGCAACATGGAAGTTTGTGAAGGCAGCTACTGACTATATCAATGCAAGTGAATCAACTGAATTTAAATAATTTATATCACAAGGAGCCAAAAAAATAAGAACAATCTTTATTTACTGAACCTTGTATTTATATTTATAGCCTATAAATTTAAATGCTAACTTTAATATTAATTGTTAACTCATATAATTAATTATATGGATATATTATATGAATTATACATAATTATAATCTATAAAATGTAAATATAAAAAACAATTAGCAGCAAAAGATTTGTCTCTAAAATTTGATCATTATAAACTTTAATTTGTAGTGAGAGATAAAGGGGAATGTGTACTATTGTATACTTTATACTATTGCTATACTATACATTATACTGTTGCGTTAGATATATGTTATTTTGCTCAGAGCTGATTGGTCCAGCTTTGGTTTGCGATCTCTAACTCTAATAAAACCTGCTCTGGAGCAGGGTAGCCGTGTAGCGTAAGTTACAATGGTGACGAAACCCACTCAAAACCCCCCAAAAAACGTATTATACATATTTTCATTATACTGTAAATACATGTGTGTGTACATTATCTTAATTGGTTCAATATTTTAGTTTTTATACATGAAACTTAATTAAAAAAAATTGTAAACAAATATTATGAATTACCATTAGTAGTTATTACTATTTATTCATTAAGTTTCTGGAGATTCACACTGCTTGAGATTTTACATCCTGCTGAAATTAAGTCACAAATGTCTACAGCGGTCCTCTCGATGATATCTCTTCCTGTTTTGTGTTGTTTTTTTCATTGCACTACATAACATTTCGTAGACAGAAGATTTTCAAATATTAATAAGCAGTGAAGCGGTTTTAATAATTGTTTTTCTAAGAAACAGTAATAAACAATTTTGAAGCTTTTTTTCTTCTCCCTGATATTTTTTTAACTTCATGGCCCTCATTATATATAATCCTATATATAAAATAATCTATATTGAGATCTATAAGATATAATTTATTACAGAAATTAGAAAACATGCTCATCGTAGACAAGGTGTATTCAAATCAATGTATGTATAAATTGCATTTTTTGTGTATTTTTTAATAAAATTTATCAAATATTAGCAACATTTTTAACTATTTAATTACTTACTTTAATTATTATTATTTTTAATGAGTGCCATTGATCATTATGTAGTCTCATGTATTCAGACCCTTGACTACAGCATTCAGCAATCAGATTCCTGCTTGCCAGATCAATAAAGTGAGCAATATGCATCAGTGTCAGTGTATCGTCCAAAGCTGAGGCTACAGTATATTGTATGAATATGTCCTGTTTGCTCCAAATGACTTTTTATGGGATGATAAAGATGAGGTAGACTTCAGAGACTGGGCAGATCGGATCAGACGGGAGTATTTTGCCAAGCAACGGGCCAAAGAACAGAGGGAAGCAGCTTCTCCGGGTCAGAAGAGGTCGAAGCGGCGGAAGGAGACGGAGGAGGATGAGAGGAGTCGGAGGGAGCTGCGAGCTCCTAACCCTCAGTTTAATTTAAGAATCGAGATTGTTAAAAAAATTTTTTGGGGACATCTAAATTTACCTTAAAGGGAGACTGGGCAGATCGGATCAGACAGGAGTATTTTGCCAAGCAACGGGCCAAAGAACAGAGGGAAGCAGCTTCTCCGGGTCAGAAGAGGTCGAAGCGGCGGAAGGAGACGGAGGAGGATGAGAGGAGTCGGAGGGAGCTGCGAGCTCCTAACCCTCAGTTTAATTTAAGAATCGAGATTGTTAAAAAAATTTTTTGGGGACATCTAAATTTACCTTAAAGCCTCTCTTCTCTGATATTTTCTTTGCTGTAGTTGCAGTCGGCCCTATATAAATCAGAGGTTTTGCTCTCTTTTTGTTTTAACTTATTATACTAATTATCAGATGATAAGAAGAAGAATTACTGAGTTGGTTGAAAACCCTGAGTATAAATTCATTTTAACATTCATGATACTCTCATGCTCCACTTGATGATGGGTTCCCAACCTGTTTTGTAAGCTGAATAATTATGGCCTAAATAACTGCTGAGATTTTAAGTAAACATGGTGAATTTATCATCTTCATATGCACCTTTATAAAATATGATTTCTATTGTTATTTTTTTGTATTCTTAAGCGATGTGAAGTGATTAGGGCTGGGCTACATTCATCAATCCTGTCAGGCGTGTTGCACATACTGCATGTAGTATAAAGAAACGTTACTTTTGGATGCTCTTTTTTTCATGACAGTTAGGCTTTTTCTGAGTATCTGCATTTGCTTTGAGAAGAACATTTAACTAAAACCAAAGTAAGTCAATTTATGGTGCTCTACATAAATGTACTAGCATAAATATAGGATGAGGGGGAGTTATATGACGTCACTGTCACATCAGGACCATTACAATCTGATTGTATCTGCTGTAACTTGTTCTGTTGAAAATATTATATTTCACTGCGAGTTGGTGTTTATTATTTAAGAACCGTTAACAAAGTCTTGTTTTGGCCTATAAATCTTCTAATTTTCAGGCATTTAAACAAAGGACAGGCAGATGGCCTGCCCCTGGTCTGGTAGAAAACTGCACAGAATATATTAAATGATGATGTGGTTGCCAGATTGCAGAAAAACGCTTACCAGACAAACTTGTTTTCTTAGCAATAAAGACATTTAGGATTTATAGTTTAGGGTATTATTATTGTTATTAGATCTGTTACATACATTTTCTTACTCAATTTTATAGCAATCATATATAATTTTAAATGAACCTTTATTTTATTTACAGCCACTGCAACATATACAAAAATGACTGAGTGGATCTGAAGCAGATAAAATATTTGCAAGCCATGGGTTCGTTATGGATTTGTAGAATAACGGTTCTTGTTGTTTGAAATTATGCTGGCATTTCATAATTAAGTCATCATAATTGTATTAAATATAGTCACACTTAATGGAAGATGGAGTGATTTAACAGACTAAATAAAATAAAAAAAACAATGAAATTATTAAATACATGAAGAAATGTTGACATAAAAGTACAATGAAATAAATAAGGTAAGAAATACACGTATTTTCATTTATTGGTATACATTTATTTAAGTTATATTAATGTCATTATATTTCATTTTTAAATCACTCACTCCATAGACAAGGAAGCTAATTGCAGAAAGTGAAAAGGTGAAGTTGTGAATGTGTTTAGTAAGATAACTATTTTGCTAAATGGTCGGTCGTCTCTCATAAATGCACATTATCATATACTAATATATATCATATGTTTATGCTATGTTTGAACTATTTTTCAAATATTTCTTTTTGTAAGTTAAAAAATGTGTTAAATAGAAGAAGGGGGATTTGCCAGCAAAGTACCTGGCAACCCATGGGCGCAATCTGCACACCGGCAAGGTCTGTGCTTCACGGGAGTGATCTTTTTATAATGCGATCCATTCAAACGCCAAGACTTCGTTGTATACCAAATAAAAAAAACAATGAAATTATTAAATACATGAAGAAATGTTGACATAAAAGTACAATGAAATAAATAAGGTAAGAAATACACGTATTTTCATTTATTGGTATACATTTATTTAAGTTATATTAATGTCATTATATTTCATTTTTAAACCACTCACTCCATTAGACAAGGAAGCTAATTGCAGAAAGTGAAAAGATGAAGTTGTGAATGTGTTTAGTAAGATAACTATTTTGCTAAATGGTCGGTCGTCTCTCATAAATGCACATTATCATATACTAATATATATCATATGTTTATGCTATGTTTGAACTATTTTTCAAATATTTCTTTTTGTAAGTTAAAAAATGTGTTAAAAAGAAGAAGGGGGATTTGCCAGCAAAGTACCTGGCAACCCATGGGCGCAATCTGCACACCGGCAAGGTCTGTGCTTCACGGGAGTGATCTTTTTATAATGCGATCCATTCAAACGCCAAGACTTCGTTGTATACGTACGTTTTTAAGGCTGGATAGCGTTTAGTTGTTTGTTTGGCAACCTCCCTTCAATCGCCTTTAATCTCTTACGTTATTTCTGTCGTTTCAATGGCAAGACGGCTATTAAAGGTACAGACGCCTATCGATTATTATTGTCCAGCCTGCTAGATAAGACGCGGTGTTGCATCAGAGTTACATCTGCAGTTTCATTTGTAGTATTTGCATGATAATGCTAAGAATATTCACTAGGTTGCTAAAAATAGCTTTTCTAGGTTAATGATTTTCGGGACAGTTTAATCTCATCCCAATCACAATCTTCAATAATTCAGAATGCGCGCTAACGAGCATCATCTTTTAGTCAAACGGAAATGCATTGAGATTGAATTTTTGTGTTGAACACTTGACGCTCGCGGCAGGTTGGTCGTGCTGTAGTATTAAAGTGAATCGCAAAGGCCAGAGGCGGACTGAGGGATCCAGGTGGCTGAGAGAGGAGAGAGGAGATGGGCTTTCGGAGTGAGGAGATGTGCTTGGCGCAGCTGTTCCTGCAGTCCGGTTCGGCGTACGACTGCATCAGCGAACTCGGAGAGATGGGACTGGTCGAATTTCGAGATGTAAGTTTGGTTTGGCCTCACCGGGTGTGTATCAAGTCCTAGTGAGCTACCTAGCTAGACAGCATTTCTGGGACATCACAGGCGCGTTCCGAATCAGCGATGCTGCGTGCACCTGATGCCCCCAAAATGCTGTCTATGTAGATTTTGAGCCACAGCCTGAATTCTCAGAACAGACAGATTGGAATAAATTGACCGTAAATTATCGGCATTACTTGGCAACCCATGCTGCTTTGCTGCATGGAAAGTGTCGCTTATAGGTGTGAAACGGATTTAATTAAATGCATGTTGAAGTGTGCACATTTTGGCCTGGTCACACAGTGAGGCTGATGTCCTGGTTAACGCTGAGCTGGATCAATTGCTTGCAAAAAAGCAAAAGTCTGCTTAAAAGCCCGTGTTTTCTATTCACCCTGAGGTTGTTTGACACTCATTAACAACTTCATGTAGGCCCTGTGTTGGTTGCGTGTGACCTACTGTTAGGTTGGCGTCAGTAATCGAATTTTTTGGGGAATAAAATGAAATTTTGCTAGTTCTTTTATTATGCATGCCGCTTGTTACATTTTAAATGAATGCATAATGGTGATCAGTCAACAGGTCCTAAGCAATGCTGTTGTTGTTAACTAAAACTATTAAAAATCATTATCAACTTTAGTGAACCTAGAATAAAATAAAATATAAATATGAGTTGAAAAGCTTTAATGAAAATTAGAAATGTTGCATTGGCAACTCACTGAAATAATAATAACAAAAAAAGTTTGTTCAAGCACTAGTTACCTACACTAAAACTGAAATAAATATAAACCAAAATTATTTAGAAATATTGAATATTAAATATTGAAAAAGCACATAACAAAATTAGTAAAACATCAACTAAAATTGCAAATAAAAGCTCATAAAAATACTGATAATATTATGTAAATAATACTAAAATAACACTGGTCCTAAGATATACACTTTCCCTTATGCATTTGTATGAATTTTGACTTAAAGTGTCCATTTTGATTGTTTAATAACTTGAGAATTTTTTCATTCCAAAAATGAATTATTACTCATCTTCATGTTGATCTAAACTCATATGGCTTATTTTCCTCTGTACAATACAATAAAAAAAAAACTTATTCAGTATGGTCAAGTGAATGAGAATTGGGGCTATAATAAATAGATAGATAAATGTAAAAAAAAATTAAAGTACATATTAATCTTCTGATAGCTTTGTGTGAGGAAACATTCCAACATGTAAGATATTATGCAGTGAACATCTTAGCTTATCTTGTTTAATATCTGAAGTAATCATTCTTTCGAGTCTGATCTTTTCAACTAATTCACTGATGCGGTTCAAAACTGGTCTGAATGATTCGTTCACATATCTATCTGATCCTGTTCTCAGGTTCAGCTCACTGATCTGGATCTGGTTGACTAACACCTCACTGGCGTGGAAGACAAAATTATCATATGATTTCAGAAGAATTGAAATAGAGTGCATGGGTCATGTAAACCAGTTTTATGATGATTTTATGTTGAATTTTACATGAGGAAATGAACCCAAGCGGACCCGATTAATTTATCCAAGCCGACCCGATTATTATGCAATGCTGAAATCTCAACAATGACTAAATATCATCTGATTAATGTAATGGCCAAAGCCTTGTATTGTTGCCTCTAGATTTTAATATGTTGTTGTGTCAAACATATGTCATACTCTGATGACCTGTTCCAGCTCAACCCCAGCGTGAGCTCCTTCCAGCGCCGCTTCGTCAGTGAGATCAAGAGATGTGAGGAGATGGAGAGGATTCTGGGTAAGAGATCTTTATTAAACATTCTGTAAATTTGAGGTCAAGCCTAAACCTCTCCTGCTGAGGATATTTGAAATTCTAAATCTGTCTTTAATGGTACTATTATTTATGTATTTTTTAAGAAATCAAGAAAAAAAATATTTTTTTTGCAATATATTTCTGTTTTAGTCTTAAAAGTGTTTTGCACAGGCCATAAAGTGAGAATCAAAAGATCAAAGCACAGAATATACTATTTTTGTACATTAGAACAGACTTTGTTCAGAATTTGGCTTTTTTGATGTGATTGCATAATGTTTATCTAATAAAACAGTGAATGTTTTTGTGTGTTCTTGGATCAGTGCTTAAAACTCAAGTTCTTTGTTTCCATCACCTGTAGGGTATCTGCTGAGGGAAATCAGGAAGGCTAATCTTGCAGTGCCAGAGGCTGAAATCCCTCCTGTTGCTCCTGCACCCAAAAATGTCTTGGAGATCATGGTAGGTGCTGAGATGTACTGACATTAGCTGCTTTAATAGACAAGGTCAGTGTGCCAAACAGGCTTTTTCTAGTTCCCATAAATAGTGTCTGAGTTCTCTTTAATGAAAATTAAATATGATAATTTTAAATTAATCCATACCATAGCACCATATAACACCGTAGCAACCTTCTAGAAACAGCCTAACAAGCACTCAGAACACCATCAGCTGGAAACCACCCAGGACACTCAGTGTTACAGCATTATAGACACAGTTACATTTACTGTGTTTTAGCGGATTTTCACTGGCAAAATCCAGGAATTCCAAAAGGGATTCACACAAACAAGAATTTAGTGTGAGGGGTGAAAGATTTCCCCACAGAGATTTCGCAGTGGGTTCAAGTTGGTCACACACTTCTGTGTGTGTTGTGCTTCATACATTGCAACCAAGCGGCAACCTCCCGCTCTCTCTCGTGAAGCCAACAAGTGACTTAAACTGTAATTCATCAACTGGCCGCTAGAGACTCTCTCAATCCCATAGACTCCCCATTTTAAAATGCCCAACTTTACAGCAGAAAAAAACATGTTTACAGCCTGGTTCAAAAAATGATTTTGGTCTATATAGCTAATTTTGCCCTTCATGACAACTGTGAGGGGGGGGATTTTTTTTATAACTCATCCATTTAAATTATATTAAGCCTTAAAGTTCTGCATAATTAAGGGAGTGGCCACTTGAGTGACAGGTGGATTGCCGCTGCTGTCACCACCGTCGAGCTAGGTGGGCCCACTTCAGCAATCAGCTCCCGCCTCTTTGTCCATTTTCGATTATCCGGGAGTGACGCACGGTGACGCGCTGCCAAGATGGCGACGGCCCGCTCCGCCCACTTTGAGTTTAAAAAACGCTCTTCAGAAATCTACGGGTGACGTCACAGACACTACGTCCATGTTTTTATACAGTCTATGATTGCAACACTATAAACCTCATGCGTCTGAGAAACCAGAGTTTTGTCTTTGAACTTCTGTTTTTACTGTAGCTCTATAGCATCACTGTTGAAAAGTAATTTGCTGCCGAAGTGGATGTATTTATTGTAGAGTTAACGAAAGTTCAACGCTGAACTTTCAATGCTGCGCCCCCTAGGGGGCACATTGGGGAATGCAGCCTACATGACCGGTGTCTGAAGCACGTGTGAAACAACGCCAATCTATTGGCCCACCTGGCCCATGACGTCATAGGCGGGATGCTCGGAAGTATAAAAGGGCACCTGCTGAATACGTCATCCTCTTTGCTGTCTTCAGGAGCTGTCTGTTTGAAGTGCGTGTGAGAGACCAAGGCAGGTGAGCGGTGTGGAAAGTGTGTGCCTCCGTTCCAGAGGTTTCTGGCACATGAGGATGCGCACGATCTATCTGTCATCTGTTTTTGGTCAGGACCTTGCGCGTTCAGTGCTCGAGGGCTCTGAACGCGCTCATTGTGAGTGTCATCCAATGAGAAGCTCCATTCGCGTTTGTCCCTCTTCTCGAGAGATGAGTGACGAGCATTTGTGTCTCGCGGTTCGGGTCCCACTGTTGCCGAGGCATGGCGAATATTCGGATCACGGGATTCGAGAGGGTTGAGATGCCCTTTTTGGGTTATCGGATCCCACGAATAGCGCTCGAGTCAAGCAGCGACTTGGGGAATGTGTGCCTCCATGTTTGGATTCTAACACTCGAGGGCATGTTCTGCTTTCGCGTTTGTCTCGGCGAAAGAGCACGCGCATTCAGACTTACGCACTCATTGTGATGAGTCACGATGTCTAGGCTCCGCTCGCATTTGTTCCTATTCCTGAGGGATACGGAGCAGAACGTTTGTGTCTCACGACCCGGTTCTGCCATTGCCAAGGCACAGTTATCTCAACTAGCGGTCAATTCTTTGATCTGCGGCATCCGCACACCCTCTCTATATGGTTGTCAGATCCCACGGATATTGTTGGGTTGTTATGACGATGAAGTGTATGCACAGAGTCATTTCAGCCCTGATCCTGCGAGATCGTGGGCGGAGCTATATTCAGCTCGGCTGTGCCTCTCTAATATGCATGTTAATGTGTGTGGAGAGCCTCGCTGGTTGTGAATATATTTAAATA